CCCACAGAGCCAACTGCAGTCAGGTCTCCTCAGCCAGAAAACCTCCTTGGCCAGAGGCCTCAGGCTGTCCAGACCCCACAGGGGCCAGAGGGGCCTCAGGCTGTCCAGACCCCACAGGCCTTCTCAGGCTCTCCAGGTGGTCACAACTCATATGATATAGGTTTTATTGCTACTACTTAATCTCTTTTCAAACCGACTATACTTTTTCATTGTCCCCCAGTGCCAAATTACAGCTTCTTATTGTTTTTTTCAGAGCAATAAAACAGAGGATCTCTGTTTATCAAATTTTCCGCAGCATGCTGGGTACCCCAGTAGATCATGACCTGCCGTTGACAGACCCAGCCTGTGATCACTAAACACGAAAATGAAAATAAAAAACTGTTCTGAGCACTTCCAACAAAAATATTTATTTGGTCGGCTTCCTTCATACCTCAAGAAAGCTTTGGAAGGCAATGAAAGACGGGAGGAAGGAGCAGGAGAGAGAGAGGGAAGGAGGGAGGTCCCTTCACATGCTGGGGGCTCAGAGCCTGTCCAACTGAGGACCAGCAGCAGCCCGGGAAGGGCCAACGCAAGAAGGAGGCCGCGGTGCGTGGCCTTAGACCTGACCCCAGCTGACCTTTCCTCCAGATTCGGCCTTAGCCCCTCTCCACGCACAGCCTGCCGAGGCCCCTCCTCCATCGACAGATGCTGTTTACTGGAGCTGGAAGGCCGTCCAGCAGGGACGGGGTGCTGTCCCCTCCCCCAGCCCCAGCGCCCACTCCCTGCCCTCCTGGCCCCCTCAAGTGTCCCCCCCCGGACTTCTGGGGCTATGCTTTGCACAGGTTATTGTCCAGCTCCCTGCCCAATACTATTCCCACCTCAGGTACCAACTATCTGCCTGACCACCCACCTGAGACACCTAAAGACATTTCCACCCCAAAGCTTCCATCTGAAACCAGAACAGGGGTGTCATGGCTCCTCAGGGCCACCCCTGTGGGGGCTGTGGGCTTGGCTGGAGTCCTGCTGGTAAAGATCAGCACCTGAGTCAGCAGGCCAAAACCAGATCTGCCTTTCCAAATCAGTTCAGCAGACTCTGAAATGTCTTCGTTAGATAAGTTTTATTACAAAAGTAACACAAGATTGCTTTAACAAACAAAGATCTTTAAACACAAGTTAATCCCTCCCATATATACCCTCTCCAAATTGCCCCTAGTTCCCTAAAAGATACAAGTGGTACTTGTCATTGTCCCTTCTGGTCATCTGCTAGGGGTGGGAGTGGGGAGCACATATATAGGCTTTTCCAGAAAACAGGATCATATTATAACCACTGCTCTGCAACTTACTTTTTCTACTTACCACATAAGGGACATTTTTCCTGGGCAGGAAACAGACATTTAACTCATTTTTAAGTAGCTGTGTAATTTTCCATACTACAGATCCACCATAATTTATGAAACCATTCCCCTATCAGTGGATTTACAGGTGTTACAGTTTTTGCCACTATAAATACTGTTGTATAACTTTGCTTTTATATATGTGAATCCCCAAAACAAATCATCAGTATATTTGTCATTTAATAGATATTGCCAGATTACATTCCAAAAGACTGTGACCAACTCACATGCTTACCAGCAGAGTGGGTCTGTGCCCACCTTCCTGAGTTCTCCCGAGCACTGGATGTGTTATTCATCATTTTAATTTCTGGAAATCTGCTGGGTGTGGTTTATATTTAAACTTCCTTAAGTTGTACTGAGGATAAACATATTTTCATATAATATGTGGACCATTTTCATTTCCTCTTTTGCAAATTACCATTTATATCTTTGCCCAATTTCCTAATCGATGCTTTGCCTTTTTCTTATAAGGTATAGGAGCTCTTCATAATTAAGAATAAGAACCTTTGGTCCACCAACATGTTGTTAATGGTTCTCCCAGTCTGGTTATCTTTTCTTTAATTGTGACATTAAATAACATAACATTAATAACATAAAATGTGGCATCTAAACCATCTCTAAGTGTACCATTCAGCAGCACTGAGCACATTCACATGGTTGCGCAACCATCAGCACCACCGTCTCCAGAACTTTCTCTCTTCCCAAACTGAAACTCTGTCCCCATTAGACATGAACTAAAGCCCCCTCCCCCAGTCCCCCAGTGCCCACCTGTCTCTATGGATCTGATGGCTCCAGGGACCTCGCAAAGGTGGAATCACAGAGCCCTGCCCCTCCTTTTTAAGATTTTTTTATTTGAAAGAGAGAGAGAGACAGAGATAGAGCAAGCATGGGAGGGAGGGACAAAGGGAGAGAATCTCAAGCAGGCTCCTGGCTGAGCACAGAGCTCCACACTGGGCTTGATCTCACGACCCTGAGATCATGACCTGAGCCAAAACCAAGAGCTGGATGCTGAACAGACTGAGCCACCCAGGCGCCCCTGAGCATTTGCCATTTTGTGACTAGTTTAACTTCCCTGAGCACGATGTCCACAAGGTTCATCCATGTTGTAGTAGATGTTGGAAATCCCTTCCCTTTCAAGGCTGATGATATTCCATGGTATGTGTATATTTTGTTTGAATAAAAAAAATACACTATATTTTGTTTATTCATCTGTGATGAACATTTGTGTTGTTTCTCCCTCCTGGCCGTTGTGCATGATGCTACTGTGAACATGTGTGCAAATATCTACTTGAGTCCCTGCTTTCCATTCTTTGGGATATTCCTTTGAGATTGCTAGATCGCATGGTAATTCTATGTTTAATTTTTTGAGGATCCTTCACACTTTTTTCCTAGGCAGCTGTGCTTACATTCCTGCCAGTAGAACACAAGGGCTGATTTCCCCACATCCTCACCAACACTTGCTGTTTCCTGTTTTTGTTTTTTACAGAAGCCATCCTAATAGGTGTGAGCTGGTAAGTAAGTTTATCTTTTGACTTTCTTTACAAAGTATCTTATCCTATGAAAACACTTTAATTTTAATTATGATTAAAAAGGTCTGTTGGACAATTTGAGAACATATATAAGATTAATAGGTTTACACATTTCTCTTTGTATCCCAAGAAATGGAAGGGGAGGGGAAGGAAAAGAGAGGAAACCTGTGTCTGACCACAGAACGTTCTGGACTCCACACCGTGGCCTGCCCTCTGCATCCCCATGAAGCTGCTGGGCCACACCTCCCTGCCCCACCATCTGGTAGGCTGAATGATGTGGTGGCAAACCACAGATCCAGGCTGCACATCTTCCTTGGCACTCCCTGTCTGCTATTCATAGCACACAATTTTGTGAGACTGGATGACGCCCGCTTTGCTGTTTCCTAGACCTTAACTGTATAGAAAAAATATCAAATATTGTCTGTCTCCAGAAATCAAAGCCTGCGTATTTATATTTACATTTAAATTACTTTATTTTTCTAAAGAACTCAAAGCTATTCTCTTGTGCATGTTACTGTGATTTCACGCCAAGGAGGCGAGCTGAGGCTAGGGAAGAAAAACCTCCAGAAGGGTCAAGACTTCTAGGCCTGGTTTTTGTCAAGGACAAAGGAGAGGGAACAGAACTATAGTTTTTATTGTGCCGGTGCCATTTACGTCTCCAATTTAATTAAACACACACACATCTGTTTCCTTTATAATCAAACTTCACTGAGGGCAGGTGGCATATTTTTAAAAATAAGATTATTTTTTAAAAGTTGCCTCCAAATAAAAGCTGCACAAGGTACAATCACAAGCAGCCTGGGAGGCGAGGCCCAGGGAGAGGCCTGACGGTGTGGAAGAGTCAGACGCGCCCAGGTTGGCCGGGCCCGGCGGCTACAAACTCCACATCCGGCCATCATGGAGGTTCTAACACACTCTCCCTCCAGCCTAGGTCTCCATCATCACAAGCTGCACAGAATTCTTCCCCCAAACCCCTCCACAGCCAAAAAAAAAAAAAAGACAACCCACAAAGCAGAACTATCCAGAGCTATAGCGATTTGTCCCCAGGGCACATGAGCTACCAGGACACAAGCATGATTGTTCCCAGCCCCAAAATCATCCGGTACACAGGCTGTTATCTCCATAGGACGCACAGCAACTGGGTTTTGGCTTTCAGACTCTCCAGTGGTGTCCCATGTCGGCCCAGCAAGGACCAGCTGAGCTCACACGCAGTCAGGCCGAAGGCGCCTTTCACTCGTGCAGAGGGTCCAAGTCCCCTGTGAATCAGGCTCCACCTAGACACCCCTGTTGGCACAGAGAGCTGGGGGAGTGAGAGATGCCTGTGCCAACTTCACCCCAAACACACTGCACAAACTACCTGGAAAGAAAGGCAGGTCTCTGCCCTTCACGCTGGTCTTCCCAGAGCTACCGGGGCCTCCTGCAGACCCAGTGTGGCTTCAGGAGAAGCTGCCCTGGGCGAACCCCCTGTGCGGGCAATGAACCCTAACTCCGCCCTTAGCATTTGAAGGCCACTACCAAGGGGCACACTGCCCCAGACCTGCAGCCATCACACAGGACACAAGTCTTTGCTGAGAGGCAGCCCTTGTGAGCAAGGCAGATGTGCCTGTCTTTCCTTGACCCGGCTACCAGAGGACTCCCATTCCCTGGGAGCTTAGAGCCCTCTCTGAAAACGCAGAACACCAAACGTTTTTTTCTCTGCCTAACCAGAGAAGAAACAGGCGGTCTAAAGGATGAATGGCTTCCTGCTGAAGGAGCAAAACTGAGCTGAGGGATGCGGCGGGTCCAGCCGGAGTCAGGGCACCGATTTCACCGCCTACCGTTCTAAAGCTGCTGGTGAGTCGCTGTCTGTCCTGGGGTACAGACCCAGATGCAGACACACAGACGTGCATATCGACAACGTGTTCCACTTGAGTTAAGGCTCCGTCACGTTTTTACTAACGCTTAGAGACGTTTCAGCTCCACAGCTCTCCTCAGGGGCACTGAAGAAAATGAACCTCACCCAGAACGTTGGCTCCACGTGGTGAGCCCGCCGGTGGCTGGCAGGGTCGAGGCACACCCAGACCCACAGCCGCGTGTCAGCTGGGACCCGCACACTTACCGTTTACGCAGGTCTCAGATGGTCTGCAGAGGCCGTCCTCAAACAGACAGCCTGGGGAGGAAGCACAAGAGAGAAAGGGGTCAGTGCAGCCGTCCAGGGCCGTTACATCTGCCGACTCCTGAGCGTCCAAGAAACAAAGCAGACCCACACAGGCTCTTTGGGTTTGGCTTTTCTGAGATGATGCTGAATTTGGAAGCCTGGCTTGAGTCATTGAGAGGGAGTAAGTGTACGTGGACCGGCGTCTCCATCGGGAGGACACTCGCACACGTGCTGTCCCTTCCGGCAACAGGGAGGGGTGGTCTGCCCAAGGGCACCTTCCAGAGCCGCAGAGGGAGGTGGGGGTGGCCATCCACATAGACATCTCCTGAGCCCCACAGGGCTCTGTCAGCATCATCACTAAAATAGGACCTCCGGGTCCTTCTGTCACACACTGTGCCCAATACCCACTGCGTGAGGCCCAAAGTGGACAGACGGCCCGCATGTGCTGCCAGGACCACAGAAAGAAGGTGGAGGGAAGCAGACTCCCGTCCTCCATAAGGAGAGACAGACAAGAATGTGAAGTGAGTGCGACCCCAAATGCAGTTACCCTCCACAGAGGGGTAGTGGCAGGTCAGAGAAGGTAGACATTCTGCCCTGTGTTCAAGTGCATCAAGAAAGGACATGGAAAGAAACACCCACCTTCCAGAGGGTGAGCCAGTCAGGTGAACATATGAACAAGGGAGGGCTAGACCAAGACCCCAATGAGACCCTGCCCAGGCCCCTGATGCTATACTCACACCCACCCCAGGGGAACGCCACCAGCCTACAAAAGCCTGACATATTCTGAACACATCAGGCCTTCTACCAACACTGAGCGCATATTCCTGACACAGCACGATACCTATATTCCTGTTTTTCCAACTGACAAACTCCTATTTATCCACTAAGACCCAGCTCAGAAGTTGCCATGGAATCTCCTGACTAGACTGGCAGATTAGTATTGTTAGGGGCCCACTGTAGGTTGTGATTGTCTACCTAGAGGCACATCTCCCTCTCCTGAATAGGAGAGTCTCAAGATTAGAAACCACATAAATTTATCTTTTTGTCCTTTGCCATTTCCTCTACGTGTACCCTGTATCTGGCAGATGCTCCAGGGCAGCAAGATGCATGCGAGAGAATCGCAGGTTAGGAGGAGGTTACTCATTATGAAGGAATCCACCCCCGGGGTCAATGTAAAGCCCTGATTATTAATTTGCTCACTAGGGAATTGTTCTAAAATCCTTAGAGTTGGAAGCATTCTCTGAAACAAATATGGGTTGAGGAAGGCACAAAAACAGGACCTGCAGAGGCTACAAAAGCAAATGTTGTTGCAGAACCAGAGGAGTCGAGTCAGGAGACAGCATTACCATGAATTCATGAGGATAAGTAGTCTCACTTTGCCCTTACAACAATTTTAAGAGCAAGATATTACAGTCCCCACCCCACCCAGGAGAAGCCCTAAAGACAGGCGGAGGGCACAAAGCCAGGGAGATGCTCCCTGGCTGGCCACCCCAGGCCTCAACTCAAAGCAAAGGGTCTGCTTTCCTGAAACAACATCTCACGACAAATACCATTTCGCGTCTTAGTCTGGTAGGAACACACATCTTCACTACTCTCTCCATCCGTGAACTGACCCAAGCACCCCATTTGCTGCTGTGTCCCTGTTCCCCGTGCCACACAGCTCTGCTCCCAGGGCCACTCACTCACACCTCCTTCTCTCTCAGCACCTGAGCCAGGCCCTGTGAGGTGGAAAAGGTACAACGGCCTGGAAGGAGAACTGCCAAAAACCATCCAAGAGACAGCCTGCCACCACTGAGAGTTAGCAAGACCTGCATCCAGTCTGGTTCCCCCAGAAGCAGTGACCGTGACAAAGGCAATGGGCTCGTCCAGTCTCAGTATCATGAGCAACCAGGGCCAGGCCGGCTGACCTTTATGGCCCCACTCCAGTCCAGGAGACTGTCACCATGGAAGACCGGATGCAAACCACCAAGGGCCTCTCGAGGAGCCCAAGCGGTCTGGCCACCCCTCCCACCGGCCCAGATGCTCAGAGGGCCACATTCGCCCTTCTCCATGGCCAGGATTATCCCAGTGCATTTCCAGTGCCCACAGAAGACCCCAGAGGAAGGCTGGACGCAGGGACAAGGGCAGCCCCACACTTAAGCCCAAGACTCACTCACATTAACAGTCTTGCGTTTATCACCTGGAAATGACAGGCTCTGCGAGGAAAGGCAGCAGGAAGCAGCCTTTACTCACTTCCCGTGCTGCTCTGACACAGCTGACAGACTCGACTGGAACGAGACATGCATCGAAATTAACTCTTGAATCCAGACTCTGGAACAACAACCTGCTGTCTCAAGGGGACATTGCAGGGAACTGGTAAAAACCGCATCCCAGAGACTTCCACCAGTGGTATTTCAAGTTGTTTCTCAGCAGAACTGCACGTGTTATGCATACTTCACCCAGCCATGCACTACACTAATTTGACTGCTAATTTATTTGTGTTGTTATTTGCTCTAAAATTAAGAAAGGCCATATTTCATTTTAAGTATCAATCACCTACTAATACTAATTATGACCATAAATCATAGAAAGAAAAAGACATCTGGGTGAGACACTTGGCTCCGCCCTGGGCTCTCCATCAGACACACTTCCTTCTCCAACGGCACCCACCTCCCTCCCTCCCCTGGCAGGCTACGCGCAGCTCCAGAGTCAATTTGTTCACACTGCAATCTCACGGTCAAGCTCATGAAGGGTCTCAAGACCAGATGCCACTCCAAAGCTGGGCAGTTACATCCATGAAGCAAGCCCATGAAGCAGTCCATCTCGGTGCCTAGTGCTTAAAACTGGAATTCCTCAATTTTGATGGTGTTATCCACCCTTTTCATGAAAACAAAGGCAACATTTCCAAAATGCTCACACCACTCCCCTGGCTGACCACCCAGAGTACGGCTATGAAGTGGGGGCACCCCTTACTCATCATATCCATAGATTTCCCGCCAGCTTCAGAACACACATGCACACTGACCGATACACGCAGCCGCAGACACACTACACACAGTCACACTCACAAACACACACATGCTACACTCACGGATACACGTACCAAACCTTTCTAGTTCTAATTCTGCTCCCCTTTTATTTTCTCAGAATACCGAGCAAGATCGTGTCACCACATCGATGCCTCTTTTTCTTTTCCTATTCAAACAGAAAAAGGACCCAGCAACCCTGCAAGGAGCCAGGCCAGCTCTGCCTCCCATCATTCCTGAGACGCTTAGAAGGGGTTTTGTGTTTTGTGGTGGAAACAGTGAGCAGGATCCCCACCCCCTGGCTGACTGGGACCTGCCCACCCACAGCTGCACGGACCCCACTCCAGCACTTTTCCGTTCCCAGGGTGTCCCCTCCAGGCGGTGACACTGCCCAGAGGGGAGAGTGGCCTGAAAATCAAGGGCCCCATCGCCAACGTCCCACCCACCCACAGGCGAGCTAATTACCCTCCAGGGTCTGCTCTTTTCCTGGCTGCCTCCCACTTGCAGGTGTTCGCAGAAGCACTGAGATGGATGCCAATGCACACAAGCAAAATAGAGAGGTTTTGTGACTGCATAATGTAAGAAAAAGATGAAAGTAAAATGAGTTCTCTCACCAATAATAAAATAGTTTCTCTCTCAGACAGACCACATGAACAGGAGCAGTGACTCTATCTTCTACAAAGCCTCTGGAAGACTCTTAGAACCCAAGGATTCTCAGGAAATTTTCTTAAAATTGAGAGCCGATATTGCTACTAAGCCAAAAATGGTTTAGTATTGTAGCCAAATAAAATCCAACTGGTATGTGGACTCTACCCAAATGCATGTTAATAACAAGTAGGTTATCTTTTCCCAAAGGCAATTTTTCACAAGTAACAAAGTCCTCTCATACACAGACTCTCTTACTTGATCATTCCCCTCTTCTCACTGAGCACTCCCAAAAGTAAACAACACTTTGACTAATCTAATGACTTTCCCCAGTTGCCTACAGCAATGCCTAGTCCCATTTCGCAGAAAAAGAAACCTGGACTCAAGAAGGTTAATAATATGCCCGTAGCTTGACTCAAAGCTGGTCTGTCTCTCCCCCAACACCTGCTGTCTCCACTATTCCAAGCTGTTCCAGGTAAGAAGAGTGGCTGCGTGTCCACACAAGAGTTCACCTGGGTAGACAGAGGCAGGTGACACCACTAGGACTTTACTTGACGGAGCTCTATGTCCAGATGCTCAACCTGCAGCTCTCATCCCTTCTACCTACCTCCACCTGCAACTCTTGCTCTTCTGTGGGCCTGGAGCAGATCTGAGGGAAGGAAAAGGCAAGTCTGTGCCATTATCTGGCGAGGGATTGCACATGCACGCACCCTTGGAGGGAAGGAGAACCCCTGCTCCCGCACACTGCTTCTCCTTTTTACTTTTCCCTTGAAAGATTTATTTATTTATTTTAGAGGGGCGGGGGTGGAAGAACAGTGGGAAAAGGGAGAGGAGAGTCCCAAGCAGACTCTGCCCTGAGCGCGGGCCCAGAGCCCAACACGGGGCTCGATCTCACGACCCTGAGAGCATTACCTGAGCTGAAAACAAGAGTCGGATGCTTAACACCCGGGTGGCATCCCCACATTACTACTCCTTTTACCACACAGCTCCCACTAAGTGAGTACCACTGGGCTCTTGCCCGCCGTGGCTCTGTTCTTGGCCTCCACACCCTGCCTCTGCTCCCAGGAGCCCTGCGAGCAGCTCCCACCCCAGCAGGAAGAGATGGGAGGCCCTGCAGAGCAAGTAGCTGGTAACGCCTGGACTCGGGTGGCTTCAGCCATATGCAGACATGAAAGGTATGGGCAAAGCAGGTCTCTTCCAAGGCCCATCCTGCCAACACTTACCAGGAGCACCACCCCAGGTACAGCCAACGTGAGGCATGTCTCAGAGCAGACACTAGAGAAAATAAAACAAACAATGGCAAACAGGCCCAGGAGGGGCAGGGTGTACCCCTTGGCTGCACCTCAGGGGAACCCAGGGTGG